CATTTGGCACTGATGGTCGAAACGACTCATTTTCAAAGTCATTCGAGCCCTGGAGTAGGTGAATCCCCTATTTTGTCAAATTTTGTGTGTTGTCTATGAAATGTTGATTATCTGGAATCCCAACGTCTATTTTGCCAAAAAATTTTATGGACGTCTTTTAAGACCTTAGCTGTGGAGCCACTTGTCCTTAATGGCCAAACTGCCCATTTTCAATGTCAAATGAGCCCTAAAGCAGGAAAACCTCCTATTTTGCCTATTTTCGTGTGCTATCAATGAATTTTTGGTGATCCGAAATTTCAACATCATTTTATCCAAAAAAAATCATGGACATCATTTAAGACCTTAGATGTGGAGCTAGTTGTCCTTGACGGTTAAAACGACCCATTTTCAAGGTCAAATGAGTCCTGGAGCAGGTAAACCACATTTTTCGATTTTCGTATGCTATAGTTCACTATATTTTTGGTTGTCCAAAATTTTGATGTCATTTTTGCTAAAAAATTTCATGGACGTCCCTTAAGACCTTAGCTATGGGTCTAGTTGATCCTGACGACCACAACGGTCAATTTTTAAGGTCAAATGAGCCCTGAAGTAGGAACACTCCAATTTTACTGATTTTTGATTGTATAGTTCACCATCTTTTTTGGTGATCCAGAATTTTTATGGACGTCCTTTAAGACCTTAGCTATGGAGACAGTTGGCCCTTGATTGCCAAAACGGCCTATTTAAAGGTCAAACGAGCCACAGAGTAGGTAAACCCTCTAATTTGCCTATTTTCGTGAGTTATCCATGGATTTTTGGTGATGCGAAATTCCGACGTCATTTTTGTCAAAATTTTTCAAATACATAGGTTAAACAAACGATTTTCAAAGTCAAACGAGCCCTGGAGCAGGTGAACCCTCATTTTGCCAAATTTTGTATGCTATTATTCATCAATATTTTGGTGATTTAGAATTACGACCTGAGTTTTGCTGAAAATTTTCATGGATGTCGTTCAACTTTGCTATCAAAACAAAAAGTTGATCAAAATTTTACTCTTTTTCGTACTATCTGAGTAATAACATAAAAATTAATTTTTTGACGTAAATATGCAAAACATATAGAAATCAAGAAAAGTATATCAAAACACCTAGAAAAATTCTCAAACTACTCCAATGACCTTAGATATCGAAACAATCAAATGATAAAAAATTTACTCTTTTTCGTAACTGTTTAAAAAATAACAAAAATTTTAACTTAATCTCATAAATGTACGAAACATATAAAAATCAAGAAAAGTACATCAAAACATCTCGAAAAATTCTAAAAATGCACCAATGACCTTAGAATATCTAAACAAAAAAATTATCAAAATTTTACTCATTTTGTTACTGTCTGAAAAATAACAAAAAGTTTAATTTTTCCTCGTAAATATATGAAACATATAAAAATCAAGAAAAGCACATCAAAACACCTCAAAAAATCTCAAACTGCTCCAATGACCTTAGAATATCGAACTAAAAAATAATCAAAATTATACTCTTTTTATAACTGTCAAAAATAATAATAAAAGAATTTCCTCGTAGATGTACAAAACATACAACAATTAAGAAAAGTTTATCAAAACCCCTCGAAAAATTCTCAAATGGTACCAATGACCTAAGAATATTGAAACTAAAAAATGACAAAATTATAATTTTTTTCTTAATTGTCCCAAAAAAAATAATTTTTCCTCATAAAATGTACGAAACATATACAATAAAAAAAGTACATAAAAAAAACCTCAAAAAATTCTCAAACTGCTCCAATGACCTTAGAATATCAAAACAAAAATATAATCAAAATTTTATTTTTTTCGTAATTGTTAAAAAAAATGAAAATTGAATTTTTCCACGTGAATATACGAAACATATAAAAATCAAGAAAATTACATCAAAACGCCTTTTAAAATGCTCAAACTGCACTACTGACCTTAGAATATCGAAAAAAGAAATTTATCAAAATTTTACTCTTTTTGTAACTATTCGAAAATAATTAAAAAAATTAATTTTTCATCGTAAATGTACCAAAAATATGAGAATCAAGAAAAGTTTTTAAAAACACCTCAAAAAATTCTCCAACAATAAAATTTTACTCTTTTTGTAACCATCTGAAAAATAATCAAAAAAATTATTTTTTCCTCGTAAATGTATGAAACATATAGTACATCAAATAACCTCAAAAAATTCTCAAACTTCACCAATGAACTTAGAATATATAAAAAAAAAAATTAATCAAAATATTAGACTTTTTTGTAATTGTTTGAAACATAACAAAAAAAAAATTCTCGTAAATATATGAATCATATAAAAATCTAGAAAAGTACATTAATACACCTCAATAAATTCACGAATTGCACCAATGACCGTATAATATCGAAACAAAAAAATGATCAAAATTTTACTCTTTTTGGTAACAGTCCAAAAAATAATAATAAAAAAATTACTCATAAATGTATGGAACATATAAAAATCATCAAAAGTACATCAAAACACCTCAACAAATTCTTAAACTATACCCATGACCTTAGAATACCGAAACAAAAAAAATGATTAAAATATTACTCTTTTACGTAACTGTACGAAAAATAACCAAAAATTTAAATTTTCCTCGTAAATATACGAAACACATAAAAATGAAGAAAAGAACATCAAAACAAAACAAAAAAATTTTCAAACTGCACCAATGACCTTAGAATATCGAAACAAAAAAAATGATCAATATTTTACTCTTTTTCGTATCTATCCGAAAAATAAGAGAAAATTTACATTTTCCTCGTAAATGTAGGAAACATAAAAATCAAGAAAAGTATATCAAAACACCTTAAAAAATCTCAAACTGCTCTAATGGCCTTAAAATATTGAAACAAAAAATTTACCAATATTTTACTATTTTTTGGGGTAAAACTTACTCGTACCGGATATCTACACCAAGTCAATACATGCATGCAATTTAAAATTTATTGTTCATTTTAATTCACTAAATTATGTAGTAATGCATTTTGCATTGATTAGGTGAAAACACCTGGTGCAGGTAAGTTTTTTCCTATTATTTGTAACTATTTAAATAATAAACAAAAAATTATTTTTTCTTTGTAAATTACGAAACATATAAAAATCAGGAAAAGTACAGCAAAACACCTCAAAAAATTCTAAAACTACACCAATGACCTTAGAACATTGGAACAATAAAAAATGATCAAAATTGTAATATTTTTCGTAATCGTCTGAAAAATAAGAAAAAAGTTATTTTTTCCTCGTAAGTGTACGAAACATATAAGAATAAAGTATTTATCAAAACACCTCAAAAAATTATCAAATTGCAATAATGACCTTAGAAATATCGAAAAATGATCAAAATTTTACTCTTTTGTAATCGTCCCAAATATAAAAAAAAATCCTTGTAAATATACGAAACATGTAAAATCAAGAAAACTACATCATACCACCTCAAAAAATTCTCAAACTGCACCAATGACCTTAAAATATTGAAACTAAAAGATTATCAGAATTGTAATATTTTTTGTAATTGTCCAAAAAATATAATTTTACCTCGTAAATGTACGAAAAGTATAAAAAGCAAGAAAAGCACATCAAAACACCTAAAAAAAATCTCAAACTGCACCATGACCTTAGAATATGAAAACAAAAAACTGATGAAAAATTTATTCTTTTTGTGATTGTCCGTAAAATAACAAAATTTTAATTTTTCCTCGTAAATGTACTAAACATATAAAAATCAAGAAAAGTACATCAAAATAACTCAAAAAATTCTCATACTGCACCAATGACCTCAGAATATCGAAATAAAAAAATAATAAAAATTGTCATCTCTTTCGTATATCAAAAAACCATAAAAATTCTCAAACTACACCAATGACGTTAGAATAACGAAACAAAAAATGATCAAAATTTTACTCTTTTATGTAATTGTTTGAAAAATAACAAAAAAATTATTTTTTTCTCGTAAATGCACGAAACATATAAAAATCAAGAAAAGTAAATCAAAACACCTCAAAAAATTCTCAAACTGCACCAATGACCTTAGAATATCAAAAAAAATGATCAAGATTTTATTCTTTTTCGTAAATGTCCGAAATAACAAAAATATTACTTTTTTCTCGTAACTGTATGAAACAAATAATAATCAAACAAAATACATCAAAACATCTCAAATAAATTTCAAATTGCATAAATGACCTTAGTATATCGAAACAAAAAAATGATCAAAATTGTAATTTTTTTTTTGTAATTGTCTGAAAAATAACAAAAAAAATTAATTTTCCTCGTAATTGTATGGAACATATAAAAATCAAGAAAAGTAGACCAAAATACCTAAAGAAATTCTCATACTGAACCAATGATCTTAGATTATCGAGACAATAAAATGATCAAAATTTTACTCTTTTTCGTAATTGTTCAAAAAATATAAAAGAAATTTAATTTTACTATTTACAAAACATATAAAAATCAAGAAAAATATATCATAACACCTCAAGAAAATTTCAAATTGCACCCATGACCTTAGAATACCGAAAAAAATAATCAAAAGTTTACTCATTTTCGTAATTGTCGGGAAAATAACAAAAAACTTAATTTTTCTTCGTAAATGTAAGAAACATATAAAAATTAAGAAAAATACATCAAAACACCTCAAAAAATTATCAAACTGCACCAATGACCTAAGAATATCGAAACAAAAAAATCACCATTTTTGTTCTTTTTCGTAATTGTGTGAAAAATAAAATAAAAAATTCCCCGAAAATGTACAAAATATATAAAAATATAGAAAATGCCATCAAAATACCTCAAAAAATTCTCAAACTGCACTAATGACCTTAGAAATATGAAAAAAAAAAGATTAAAATTTTAATGTTTTCGGAATTGTTTGAAAAATAACAAAAAATAATAATAATTTTTGTTGGTAATTGCACCAATGAGGGAGTATTGTTTTAAAACTTGGAAGGTGATATAAAAAATGTTACCATAAGAAATCCTAAAAGAGATGTATAAAAATTGGCATTGAGATTTGGGAAAAAATGATCCCTGTGAGAATGATGAGAAAAATGGTGTGGGAGAGAAGCATGAATAAATTATCAAGAGGTCTGAGTTCGTCTCAGATTCGAAAGCCAAGGTCTCCATCTCTTGTTTCACTTGACCTCATCGATGAGTGGTCTTCCAGTTTCACTCGTTCTCACTCTCATCCAATCCAAAAATCCAGTAAGCACTGCCCTAATTCTATATTTATTTTTGTTTCTTTTATAACAATTTTGTAACACATTGCTTCAATTATTAACTTTTTTATTGTGTTCTTGCCATCTTGTTTTGTTTTGCTGAGATTTTGAAGAGGAAAACTCTCTTCACCTATCCCTGGGATAATAAATTACTTACTTAAGCCATCATTCTTAGGTTACTCATATTAACCTTAAAATACAAGTATAAAATTTATTACCAGTCTAGCTTCGATCACATATTTGATTAGGTACATTACTGGGTTCTAAGTTTTTTCTCAACATAATCATCTTATGGATTTGTTCTGTGTTCTTGAGAAGCTTTGACTCATAGATGTGGCTGTATTTTGTGGTAGTCAGAAAATGGTGTATGAGTATTTATCATTCTTCCAATGCTGGATAGTTTTTTCTAGTCAAGTGCATACTTCAATTAGAGCACTCAATGCTATTTAGTTGTTATTTTGAGGCCAAACTTAACAGAGGAACCAAATTTTAAAGAAAAATTTGGGGTAACAGGACTCTGTTATATCTTAAGGACCATTTACTTTGGATTTTTCACCTCACATTGCCAAACTATGCTTCCGATCTCGCTTAGCCTCCAAAAGTAAATACTTGTCAAATTTTCATGCTACACAACCTTGGTTGTTCCATCACTTTAGTATTGTACAGTCATGCTTTTTGATGATCCTGTACACTCACTACCCTTAACTGTTCTTTGCAATTCCGGTTTTTCAAGTTCCCTATGATTGAACCAAAAAAGAAACAAAGAAAAGTTCTGCTTCTAGTTAATTTCTTTTCAGCAGCCAACAATGATACTGCTAGAATAATTGATGGGAGGTCTGCTGCCGAGGAAATTAAATCAAGCATAGCTATAGAAGTTAGCAGGATGAAGGAGTCAATAGGAAAGGTCCCTGGTTTGGCTGTAATATTGGTTGGCCAAAGGCGAGATTCTCTTGCCTATGTCCGTAACAAAATAATGGCTTGCCATGAGGTTGGGTTCAGATTTTCAATTGCTGAACTCCCTGAGAGCTGTACAGAAGACGCTGTCTGTGATGCATTGTCAAATTATAACAAGGATGCATCAATCCACGGTATTCTTGTGCAGCTTCCTTTGCCACAGGTAAATCTTCGACTAAGTAGTATGTGCTTATTCATTTTATGTGAAAGACATAAGAAAGCATGAAACTATCAGTCTCCAATAATTTAGTTGATACTTAAACTTGAGAATATATTTCTTTATTCGTTGTTTTTTCCCAAACTAGATGTTAAAAATGGCTGAAAACAAAGCTCATCTTTATTATGGTCAGATGGAAGTTGGAATTCAGAATATTAGATATGAAATTTAGGAGAGATATCAATTGAGTCTGTGCAATCACAGTCTATATGGTGTAGTCATTATGCTTTGTCCCCCACCCACCCAGTGTGTTATATATTTTCTGTTGCTAACAGAAGTCATTGGAACAGCATTTTGATGAGGGAAAGATTTTAAATGTACTAAGCTTAGAAAAAGATGTGGACGGATTTCATCCATTAAACATTGGGAACTTGGCCATTCAGGGTAGAGAGCCATTGTTCATCCCGTGCACTGCTAAAGGCTGCATCGAGTTACTGCTAAGTTCTGATGTTGAAATCGTTGGGAAGAGAGCTGTAGTGATTGGGAGGAGCAACATCGTTGGATTACCTACTTTTTTGTTGTTGCAGGTAATAAATCTGTCACAGATAGCTGTTGGTTTATTTTAATATTGTTAATCCTGTTGTTCTCAAATATATGTGCCTCACTAAGGTGTCAGCTATACGCCAATAGCACATAGTATTAGACATGAGATTGAATAATTAGTCATTCATACACATATTTTGTCCAATTATATGTCGTTGTGTATTTTTCAACAACCACACCATTGTGGTATTGTTATACTAGAGTATTGTTAACACGGAGTATGTAGCCTTGCAATAATTAGTGTAAAATTTCCTTTCTAATGCTAATTTAAGTTAGTTCATACTAAAGTTTAGTGTAGAAGATTGAGTGCTAATGATATAATACTTTAGTATATCAATTAAGTGATAGCTTTATCAGTTGTATTTGCATAATTTTGTCTGTGATTAGTTTAAATGGAGTAACATGGTCACTAAGGATTCATATAGTGTCATGGACTGAAAATCGGGGAAGTGATGATACCTATCTCAACCCCCACGGGTAGGGAACCCAATCATAATCACAAGATGAAGAATCAAGTACGTTGAAGTAATACTAAAAAACATAATATTTGGATGTTTGGAATTGACTTCTAAGTGACTTATAAATTAAAAGTTAAAAGTTATAAGTTAGTCATAAGTTGGTAACACCCTACTTTTGACTTCTAAGTGACTTTTTAAATTACCCTAAAAGTTCCAAAACTAAAAAAGAGTACGGCCCAGTGGTTTGGACTTGGGACTTCCATGTTGGAGGTCTCAAGTTCGGAACCCATTGCAAGCGAAAGCAAGGGGTTTGCCTTATGGGTTGAGCTCGTCGTATCGGGCTTGCCTAGTGCGGGTTACCTCTCCTATGTGGTTTGCGAACTATTGCATAGGAGCGGGGGTTTTACCCTGTGCGCACTCAAAGGGTAGCGTAGCGGTTGTGGGTTTCCCTTGTTAAAGAAAAAGAGTTTAAAAGTAAAAACTCACAAAAACAATAAGTCAATCCAAACACCCACTAAGTCATAAATCAATCTACCTAAAACTCACAAGGGAATGTGACAATAGATACATAACTCCCCAAAATCTATTGTCAATAGTACAAGCCTATGTGAATTCAAATATAAACTTCAATTCTACTATATCCTAAAAGAAGAAATGACGTAAAATAAGACAAGGATAGAGGAGATCCAAGGAACTGTAGATCGACCAAGTAGCTACCTCGGAATATCGAGCAAAAGATCAATCCACTACCAACAACATGAATTTGAATACACATGTACTCAAAAACATCGTTGATTAACCCAAATCCTAAGTGATGGCGAGGGTTAGTCCTAAATTGCTCTGTGTCGATACTTCGCACAAATACCACTCATTACAAATAATATAGACCTTAGCTAGCAGCTATTGTTACAAAAACATATATAAATTAAGTCCAGATATTCTAAAATCATGGTATAGTCAAATAAAAGTTATGAAGTCAGTTTCATAAGAACTTATTCACTGACACCATAACAACACCAAATTAAGAAAAATGTAATGGACTCATATGATGCATATGTCTCCTACCTGGCCAAAAACAGGTGTACCAACTACAATAGTATAGCTAGCTAATTGGGAACTTGTGAGGTCCATATACCGCCTCCGGATTCTGGATCCTCTGTAGGTCATCGAAAATATATTAAGGAAGGCACCTATCTCATAACTTTATCACAGTATTATCAGATCATTTCCCTTGTGCCACAAGAGAATGATATGATTCAACAAGTTCTAACTCCAGGCTTTAAAGAAGAGAAGAAAGACTATGCATATGAACTCATATGAAATATTATAGAATATTTTAAATACAAGAGATAAGACATCATTACTGCAAATGAGAAAGCCTTCTAGTCGCGGAAAGATCTCAAATTCACAGTGTCTAGAAATTATGTATCATGCTCACCAGGCGAATCGACCCAAGTGTCTTTCGGAAACAACCTCTCTGCTTCCACCAGGTAGTATTAAGGTCTGCATACACTCTACCCTCCCTGATCCCATTTAGTGTGATTTAACCTATATGGTGATGTTGTTGCTCACTAAGCAAATCATATCATCAGGCAACAACAAGACAAATTACTTATCATGCTTCCAACATACATAGAAGTCATGAATCAATTAAGCAATCAATATCTGACTGCTACCTAGAACATGGCATTTGTATCCGCATAAGTGGTCGTCATCTCACTTATACGGGCCCCCATTACCCATTCACACTGTCAAACAAGACATTAAAAATTCAAAAAGAGTTGAAAAAAGTCTCAAATTGCCTTAATTGAACTCAACAAGTTAAATTATGGTTTACCTTCCTCAAAGCCTTTGGACGAGTGCAATCTGGTCAAATACGTAACCTATATAAGTAAAGGAGTCAATAGACACCCATATTATTTTGCTTTTACTCGAAGTCCAAATGGTCAACTTCAAGCCCACAAGGGCAAAATTGAAATTTTCTTTGAAAGTCATGTTAGCCATAACATACGGAACTTAAATCTAATATTTCTTTAAAAAACGGAGGTCAAATCGACCATCAACTAATCAAAATACAATTTCATAACTTTAACTCGAAAATTACCATTTTCCCAAATTAAAAAACTGATTTAAAGGTAAACTGATAAATAATAAGCGGGAAATGATTAAAATAATGACTTAGAATCTTACCCACTAAAGAAATTTTGAAAATCCCTTTTTCAGTCGTCCCAAAATCGAGTTGTCAAGTTGAAGTTAAAAAACAATAGGTTTTTAATTCTATCAAGGTGACTTCCTTCATCACAAACGGGACGAACCATATCTATGCATGGACTCCACCCAACCCTAGCGAACACATCGCCTAGCCCACCAATGTGAGCACACTCGCTGATGCAAACCTGCTTAACCTTTTTGCGAACGTGGTCCCACCCTTGTGATCACAAAGACCATACCTACTCCTTCACGAACGCGTCGAGAGGCTCGCGAGTGCGAAGAAGGATTTCTCCTGCACTGGATCTCTCAAAAACTAGCATTTGCATGAAATTCTCTAACAGGCCCTTGGAATTTGTTCGGACTTCGTGAAGACAAATCTAATATGCTAGTAGATTGAAAATGACGTTTAGAATCTGTTGGAACCATTAACATGCTAAACATAGGTCGTCTTGACCGAATGTTGACTAAGGTCAACTCTTCTAAATTTTCAAGATCCTTACCAATGACCCAAATCTCATCCGAATGCCTTGGATCCTAACCATAAGTCCAATAAACTCAAAAATCACCTTCCAGACCAAACAAAACTATTGAAATTCCATTCCTAGCTCATCTTCCTCAAATATTGACTTTGGTCAAACATTTCAACTTCCAAATTTAAAAAAATTGTCAAAATCCTGTCCAAACACTTTGGGAACTATGCCACTCATCACTGCACACCACAAATACTATACAAAATAGACGGGTAAGGTACACCAGGGAAAACACTTGAGAATCTCAAAATGACTTTGAAGGTTGTTACACATTGCCGACCCCGGACTTTTTTTCCGACTGAGGCATAGTTTTTGTTGTACAAGTTTTATAAGTTGAGGTTTCATTTCCCTTATCATATATGTTTTTTTCCGTTAACTATGTTCCTGACTATTTTAAATTTTTGAGGTAAATAGTTTTAGTAATGTTAAACAATTTTAATATCTTGATGTTCTACGTTTCTATGTATAGTACTAGATTGCATATGTATCAAGATATTGCAAAAGCATAATGAGGAAATAAACACTCTGCAGTCTGTTTTGTATACCAAAGATGGGATTGATTTATTACACTGCGTATTCCAGTCTTTGGTAACAAGACAGTTTTGATTGCTTATATTAATATAATCTCTCCATATTAAAGTCTATCTATTTTGTTCGCACCATATCAAACGGTGTGGACAATGTTTGCAGAGGCACCATGCAACAGTAAGCATTGTTCATGCATATTCAGAGAATCCAGAAATTATTACTCGTGAAGCTGATATACTTGTGGCAGCTGCTGGAGTACCTAATTTAGTCCGTGGTAGCTGGTTAAAGCCCGGAGCAGTTGTACTTGACGTAGGAATAAACCCAATTGTGGTAATTGCTGAAGTTCCTCCGTAATATTGCACTATCTTGTGCACCTAAGTGCATGACAGTGAAAGTTAACTCAGTTGGATTATCATAACTTTTCTGTCCGAAAGAGTAAATTGATTTAAATAATTGTGTACACATTTGTTTGTTTAATTGGTGCAGGACCCTGAGAGCGAACATGGTTACCGTTTGATTGGTGATGTTTGCTTTGAAGAAGCAGTCAGGATCGCTTCTGCTGTAACCCCAGTGCCTGGAGGTGTAGGTCCCATGACAGTTGCAATGCTTCTTCTGAACACCCTTGAAGCCGCCAAACGCGCACTTTGTTTTACTTGATTTTAAGGTGGAGAAACTCCTAAAATGTCTCATTTCTTCCGCTCCATTGGAAGCATGGAAATGAGATGAATGCTTACTAGCTCAAATTTTGCACAATTGGACTTGTGTCTGGTAGACCAATCACTGTCATTAATCGAACCCGGCGTTCCCAACCACTTCAAGCTGCTGACCAACAGAAAGTAGCAGGTTCACTATTTTGGGATGATGCACTGAGATAATGACATTGGAGGACAGAATAGCTAATAAAAGTGATTCCATAATGCAGAAAATTCTCTTATATAACTAACTATATTTATGTATATTGGTTATCTTCTTCAGGTAACTTTTGTTTCCACATGAGGCTGACCTTTTAAAGCTAGAAAATCTTCTTTTTTTTTCCGAAGAAGATACCTGCATGTGCTTATGCTATGCACATATAGAAGACAAAGGCCCTTGAAACAGAAGGTTCACATATAATAGAAAAGTAAGAAATTAAGCAAATGTCTTTATTATTACAAGTGAACTTAGCCGCGCTTCGCACGATCATAAATAACTCGTTTTATTTGTTAAAAAAAAATAAAATAGTTGACTGCTAAAAGTTTTGTGATGGTTTTCTGTTGTGTTTAATTCAAATATATCATATTTGAAGTCTTAATCAAGTTTATTTTAGTATTGAAGTTTTTGCATTTGTTGCAATTTTAAATAGCTTAAGTTAAGAGTTTACATTTTATGACCTCATTATATAATTTTATTGGATGTGTATTTCATGCTTTTATAAATTTATACAATTTTTTAAAATCCATCTTTTATTCTTCGTGTATATTTTTCATTTTATTTGTATTTTCTCACAAAATTGAAGAATTTAAATTAAATAGAATCATAAATATAGAAAGCTCAGAATATCAAATTGTCATTATCCTCCATGTTCATCAAATTAAAAAAAAAAATATTGTGGTTCAAGTAAGGTCAAATATAGTTTATGTAGTTACTTTTTTCCTCCAAATATTATATCTCTTAATGTTTTCTTTTTTAATGTTCATTTCTTCGAAAATTATTATCCCTTCTCCAATAATTATGAATCAACTATGTTTCCACCTTTCACAAATTTTAGTTTGTGAAATATTTTGTAAATAACTTTCTTTTTTGACTAATATTTATTACAAATATAATATACTTATTATTTATATAAAAACAATAGATTGAGAGAGATATATAGACCCAAATTGCACAAAGAACATGAAGCATTAGAAGAAATTAATTATTTGAAGCAATCTCTTTATACTTTATCAAAATGTATATAAAAAATTTAAGAAAAACTTTCCAAACAAACTTTATCAAAAAAAGAAGAAGAAGAGAAACTTTATTATTGTAGCATATGTAGACATTTTTTATTTTGAGATAAGAAAAATACCAAATTTTATTAAATTGTTATGTGCCTTCAAAGCATATAGATAGTCCACTTTGTCAATTCCTTTTTTTTTTCAATCTGTAAATGAAATACCAATTTAGTAAATTATGATTTTTTTTAAAAAAAAAGTTAGGATACCACAAATAAAATGTGAGATTGTTAGATATGATTTAATATTATAACAATAAACTTTATAACGTCTTAAAAGAGAGTAAAAGAGAATAGTAACAAAATTTGCATATATTAATAATGACAGTGTTTTCATCAAACTTGAACATGTGTTCATCTTATCTTTCACCATAAACAATAAAAATGATTCACAAAAATATAAAAAGTATGAAAAAACCACCAATAATAATGAACAAAATAACACAGAAGAGAAATAAAGAAGGAAAAACACAATAAATAAGAGTCATCAACTAAACTAAAATAAAACAAATAATATTACCTATCAAGTTTGAATTTTGAATTTGAATTTTCACAAACAACATTGACATATGCTCATCTTATCTTCATACTGTAAACAAAAAATAGTTAATGATAAATAATCTAAACATTATAAAATTATGCATAACAAAATAATTTACTTAAGTGTAAATATAATTAGAAAAGAAAGAAATTCTTACCATTGGTAAGGATGATATGCTTTAGTATTTATAGTAGTCAATAAATTTGTAACTTAATTGAATAATATGAATTAAAAAATATAGTAATAAATAAAATTGTAACTTAACTTGGTATTAACTATCTTAATTGTAATATAATATTATCTTTAAGAAGGAATATAGAAAGATTTTAGGAAATAGGTGATAAATGGTGAACAAAATTATAGAAATTATTTTAATTTTGATTATTAAATATCTTAATTCTAATATAATAATATCTTTAAGAAGAATAAAGAAAGGATTTTAGGAAAAGGTGATAAGTGGTAAACAAATTAAAAAAGCACATCTTAATTTCTACAAATTTTTAAGGCATGAAAATAAGAAAAAAGGCACAAAGAGGGGGGAAAAGGATGAAAAAGGTTTTGATGAATGGACTTATAACGAAAATATTGGGCTTTATTAATTTTTCTTATGTTAATGGATTATTTGCCTATAATAAGCGGACTTTAAATAAGTATTATTTTGTGATACTTTTTAAATAAAATTTTATTTAACAAAACACGTAGTAGGAAATAAAAATAAAATTACATATATACATACTTACAAAAAAAAATTCAAAAAATTCAATGTTATATTTTATAATTAGAAGAAGATTAAAATAAGTAATTAATAATTTATTAAGAGTGGAAATTAGAGAGATATTAGTTATGAATAATTACTTCTTGAAAATTGGCATGTGAAGAGTTTTTGTTGTAAATATACCTCCATTAAATAAAATATTTATTTGTAATAAATTAAGTAATACTTTTATAATAAAACAATTGATTTAAATAAATAAGAATGGTTTGAAAAGGGAGAAAAAGTAAATAAATAGGAATAGAGGGTCATTGACGTTATATTGAACTTTATTATGGGTAATTGGGTAATTAAGGTGATGTTAGTGGGCTGGTTAAGATGATGATAGTGGGCTTAAAGGGTGATCTTTTAAGGGAAACTTACATAAATATACTATGATAAAAAAATATTTACCATTTATAGCAATAACATTATTTTTTCACATGATCACTTTTAATTCATTTATAATAAAAGTTTAATACATATTACAAAGAACAATTTATTATTCACATATAATACAGGTTTCAATGATGGATAATATATTTATGACACATTTTAATACGCTTATAATAAAATATGTTAAATTTTTACCAAATAAACATCATATATTTCAAAAAACAATTATAATTCATATATATTGCATACGTAATTCACGTTTAATTCATATTACTGATGTAACATAGCATTGTTATAAATGGTAATAAATTAAAAGTATTGCTAAAATCAGTAATTATTTATTAAAATGTATTAATTTATGTAATTTTTCCATCTTTTAACTTCTTTATGCATTTTTTCTATGCAATCATTCAAATACTTTACCAAACAATTTCGAACAAATATTGTCATTTTTCATCCACTTTACATAACACAGTCACTTTCTTTTTGAAATAATTACTACAATTTTATTTTTACAGGTATTTTATTATAAAACATGTTTTCTTATTATTTTAACTTCTTTTCCTTTTTATGTTCTTCCTTTCTTCTTTCTTTTTTAAAAAATTCATTGTCATCTCCATCTAGTGAAGCTTTTCACATTCAATGTCACAATTTTTAGCACAACTTCACCTTTTTTTAATTTTATTACTATTAGTTTTACTCTTTTTAATTTTAAAAATTTAACTAAATGTTTTCTTATATTTCAAACAATTAGATAAACCCATTCTATTTCAAGATGATTAGGAAGCATCATATAATTTTTTAAATCTAATTTCAATTGAATTCTTTCATTTTTTGGGAAATTCATTGGTTCATTTAAAATTATCATTGCTAATTTTAAAGTTATATGAAAAAGAGTAGTTGATGATACCTTCAAATTTTTTAATTTTCTTAGAAAAAGAATTAATTTTTTTTTATCAATAATTCAATAAAGTCTAAAAATAGTATGGATTCTATAAATAATTTGACCGGAGAAGAAAAAAATGAAAAAGAAAATAGGAGTAATGTTCAATTTGACATGGGGGTGGGAGGTGAAGAAAAAAAAAGAAAATAGAGGGGTGAATTATTTGAAAGTGGGAGGTGGAAGATGAAGTGAAATTTAAGATAAATCAAAATTAAAATAAGTCAAAATGTAAGAGAGAGATAAATAAAGAAAAAAAGAAGATAAAAGAAAAACTTGAAATGAAAAATATTATATTTTAAATTAAATTAGCACTTGTCATGTAATGATTGGTGTACCGATATACTTGCTTTTAAAATTTGGGGATGATAGAAAAATGATAAAATAATATATGTTCAAAATTTTTTAGTGAAAATAATAGACGATTTTAAAGTCAAGATGTCTTTTTAAAAATCCAAACCAACTTCAGTAATAACTATGTCTTTTCTTACCAGGAATAATAGCAGTACTCACAATTCTAATGAAACTAGATGAGATATACCCGTGCTGCGCACGAGTTCAATAATTTGAATAACATATCAGTAGTACATTGATTTTCCAAATAGAAATAATACTCTAATTTTTTGTTATAATCTCATAACTACTTAAATAATGTTTGATGTATAACGAAAACTTGATAAAGTATCAAATTATTACAGAAATTCAAAAAGAAATTTCACAATGTATGCATTCAACATGTCATTTTCACGCTTTGTGCATTCAGCATGTTGAGGTCTACTCATACTCCAAATTACGTCCGTGAATATATTCATATTACATGAATTATCAGCACACTTCTTTTCTGGATGAAATCCTTAGAGGAGTTGCATTTTCAAATGATTTGCAACAACCTGAGAATGAGACATATGTTGGGCTAAAGGAGAATATACTCGAAAAATCTTTGTAACAAAAGTAAAGCTTTGTAAGATGTCCAATTTTATTCATTATGCAGTTTTCGTGGGTTGGAAAAAGCACACAATATTACACAAGTGAATCGAAGGGGAATTTTAAGTGGATATGACTATGTGAATTATACTCTGAAGCTATTAGAAATAGACTAGAGGGGAACTTTTTTTGGGGGACAAAAGAAGTTGTAAAAGCACAATGTTAGTCGAGGTTCATGTAGCTTAGACCTGCTTTATGTTACAACCTGTATTAAGGTTAGTCAAAACATAAACAGAATGAAGATGAAATAAAAATATAAAAATAATCTGGGTCCACAGAAATTACTGTCTCCTTAAGAAATTTAATCTCTCATTGTATCGAGGTTACAAATTAATTTATCCCAAGATAAATCGGATTAACCTGTTAAAGAAGTAGCGGTACCTCAAACTTCAATAACTTTAGTGAATGTAATAACAACAACAAGTCACACACAGACTCAGTCGATCGACAAACTTGTTTATGAGAGAAAATGTATGCAAAGAGAAGAAAAAAATTTTCAGTGTTCGAAAATTGGAAAAAATCTCTTATTTATAGCCATTTTCAGCACAGGATG